GCCAGTATTGAAAGCATTGAGTGTCTGTCAAACCTACGGACAGAGGAGTACTTAGTAACTCCAATTGAATTGTTTTTTAAATGCCTATCTCTTTGTTCCATTCTTATCAACAAAAGATTTAGGATATTAGATATAATCACAACCCTTTAGTTGTCGATGCAAGAGTTAGGCTAAAATGAATAGAGAAAAAACATCATCAAAGGAATTTTACTATTTCAGATGTCAACAAAAATAAAAGAAATTTATGTAAATAATAACACGAAAGAAATAAAAACGACCGAAAATATTGAGAAAACATAGAAATTATTTCGTGTATGTATGACCAAGATAATAGAAGAATATAGTGTAACTAATAGATTCAATGGATAACGTAAGAAATACTAGAAATTTTTGAACAAAGAAGGCAATACAAGGACAAATCAACGAATACACAGAAAACAAAGAGAAATAGAACAAAAAATACGAGCAGCTAAAATAAAGTGGCTTCAGAAATGGAGGAATTATAAAAGAAGCATATCTTCAACTTGCAGCACAAGAAAGTTCGTGAAGCTTCTGGCCTGAACAAAAAGAAAAGCACTAATACTCTAGTATATAATGCAGGAAAAATTATCGGTAATGAACGAGAAAAATTTGAAACACGGAGTAATTACATAATTGAATTGCTCCTAGATGACATGCCAAACATACAAACAAACAAACATATAGTAAATCAAGGAGGACCTGAAATTTTAAAATCTGATTTTCTTTATACAATATGATCAGTTAAAACCAAGAAAGCAACTGGACCAGACAACACCCCAGCTTCTTCTGCACGTACCACCTCCTTTCAAAACGTTGGTTACAATAATCATCGTCATTTTATTCACTGCCACCTGAAATAACATCTAAACTCTTAAAAATTATATGATATTATAAGGGGGTCACATCAGTGCTCTAGTTAAGCTTTTTAATGCTGTATATACTACTGGTTAAAATAACTGAGGAATGGTTAAAGTATGTTTTTGTAGCAATTCCGACAAAAAGGCGGGCAAAAAGATGCGATGAATACAGATTAATTAGTTTGATGATCCGCACATTGAAAAGTTTTTTGCATTATTTATTACGAAATAGACCTAGATGAAACCCAGTTTGGATTTAGGAATGCGCTGGGTACCAGTGAGACCTTTGTTGGCTTAAATGAACTCCTCCAAAAAATGCGGAGGCCAACGTAAAGATATTTATGTGGCTTTCAACGATTACGAAAAGGCTTTCGATAGAGTGAAGCCTGAAACGCTTTTGAACATATTAAAACATATTTGTACATATTAAGAACATATTAAGAAGTCATTGATGGTAGAGATCTGCGTTTCTAGGACAAATTTTATGATTTCAGTCGCCAACCTCAGGGCAATACTTTCCTAAAGATAGATCAACAAAATACTCAGAGAGTTACTAACTTTAGATATTTGGGATGCTACATTACAGACCAACTAGATCCAAGTAAAGAGATCAAGTGCAAATAGAAGCGGCTCGCACAACGATTCGAAAAATGAAATTCTTTTTTGAAACATAAAATAACATCAAAGAATGTCCAAATGCAAAAGGTTTCATGGCTCAAGAGTAGAGAGTAAAAGATTCTAATTTTTGTTAAGAGTACGATTTTAATTTGAATAAAATGTTTTATTTCAGTTACATTTCCGTTTCTAATTGTATTGCCAAATGCAGAAATATATTAGATAATGAATCTATTATTAAAAAAAGTTAAGATACAAGAATGCATGAGAAAAACCATAAGGGAGCCAAAAATGTATGTAAGAATGGAGTAGGGATAATGTAAAAAAATGGTAAGATTAGCAGTAAAAGTTTATTATTGTGAGTTCGAAATCTCTTTATTTTCTTTACTATTATCACAAATTCGATTAAAACAATAACAAAGTTATTTTGCAGACTTTCCGGTAATTTTCGCAACATAATTGTTACTTTTAGGTAAAATGGTCACTTGAGGGTTACATAAGGTTTAGGTAGGGGGAGGGGAGTCTTGTAAAATGTTATGGTGCTTTACAAGTAAAAGAAAGGGGGATCAAAAATTGCGTTATGTAGTACTTGAACGCCCCCTAAATGTAAATGGAAAGAATACTCCAGTCGCAGTCGTCAAAGACGAAAATGCAAAACTGAACCTCGAAAAATCATTTTAACAAACTGAATTTTGCCTGGAATGTCAATTTTGAGAACCCAAAAAAGATACAAACTAGTTTGCCACTCCTACCCCCGGGCTTCCCCCTAAAACCCCTAAAGCCCTAAAACCGCCTCCCATAGGGGAGGCGAAACAGAAAAAATAGATTTACCAAGAATCGGTACCCTGTAGGAAAAAATATGTTAAACAAGAAATGTAGCTGAGATAATGTGAAACAAAAATGTTAATTAGCACTTTTTCTATAGAATAAACCGTTCTCTCGAATCAACACTTAAAGAAACTGGCGATTAGAGTGTCATATCGACGAAAATTAAATAGCTTTCATATGGAATTTTTGCATTTTGCCGTAAATAGCAAAAATCGTTAAAAGTAAAAAATTTTGAAGAACTGTACCTTGCTTCAAATTAGTCCTACAGCCTTCTACAGTAGGCCATTTTAAAGGTAATTATTTTTTCGTTCAATTTAATGTACCATTACATTATACCTAAAGCATAGAAAAGAGTCATAGAAAAATGTTTGCCGAAATTGAGAGAATGGCCCAAAAATGGTGTGAGTGGTAAACTTTGAAAAATCGTATCTCAGATAATGTAAATTTTAAAGACTTCTACCAAATTTTGAAGAGGAAGGATAAGTTATTTTTCTATAAAGCAATGTTTCCCTCGTAGAAAAAAGTTATGGGGTATAAAAGAAAAATCATGTGTGTTCCTGCTTTTTTTGCTTCGTTTTTTGAATATATTTTTGTAAAAAAAAATTATTTTTAAATTTAAAAGGTGATATTTCGATAGAAAATTTAATTTTGAACAACTTTTCTGTAGATGTATATGTACAAAAAGCGCAGAGAATTCACCCAAATGCACTCTAGTGTATAGGGACAAATTCACCTGTTTCTCAAAAATGCACCCCTTTGAAAATGGTAGCACACGGCGGTTTTTTCATATTTGGGGGTTTATTGACCATATGAAACAAGAAAACCCCTTTAATGTTGTAGTTCCTTGCTAAAGTACATAATCAACTGCCGCCTACAAACTGTTTAGTAAGAACTATTATCGATATTGGGATAAACTATCACAATCAGGAAAGCCCTAATTAAATGAAATAACTTCGAAAAAAAAAGAAACAGATACATACATAGAAATAAAGAGTTGAGTATATACTGCTCAAAAAGTTCACAAGTAGTACATTAATAAAGATTACTTTCTTTGGGACACCACTGATAGTTGTCTACTCAATAGCATAGAGAAAGTAATACTAGTAGCTTATTACAACAATTGATAATAGACTTACAATTACAACAATATTACATTACTATATTTTATATATCAAATATTGTTCCCAATATTCTGGCAAAACCCCAGATTCATGAAAACTATGTATTGTCATGTTTTATCAAAGTAATAATTAAATAAATACTAAGAAAGAGAAAATATGTCCTAAACATTTAGTTTTTTCGCTCTCCCAAAAATTTTAAAATTTTGACTTGAGGTTTAGACTTTAACCATCAATATGTATCATTGCTTTTATACTTCATATTACATCTCCTTGAAAAAAGGTTATGCATGAACTAGTGTAACTTGTTTTTATAGGTGTGGCCCATAAGTGGTATAAATACATAAGCCTGTGTATGGTTTTGCTTTCCTTTTTCTCTTGTTTGTATGTTAGGCCTTAAGACCTGTTGTTTCTGTCTAATTCAGCAGTATTTGCAATGATGACTGCCAAATATCTCTCTATATTTTAGGGGGTCTACCTTGTGGTCTTTTACCTTCTGGTTTTCCATCTCTTACTATTTGGACAATTCTCTCTCTTTTCATTATGTTAATGTGTTGGTTTCATTCTCGTCTTCTTTTGTTTTCTGGTATTCAGATTAACATGGATAGACTCAATAATAACCGGATTTTTTTGCTACCTTTTTTTTTAGAAATTTCAACTATTTGTGACACACATCTCTAAATATTATGTTTATTTCTTCTTCTTTCTTCATATCTGCTTGGCTGCAGTTTAACAGTTGTAACTTTTAGAATGCTGCTTTCAGCTCTTCAGGCAATTGTCTCTAAGTCTCTGATATTACACCAATCCCTTGTTTCCTAGCCACAAATGTTTGTTTTCTTCCTGGCCCTCAGCATCCCTGTATCTTTCCTTGTAAGATTAGTTTGGGAATATAGTATTTGCTTCCCACAAGGATATGACCAAGGTAGGGACTGTTTCTTTCCTTAACTATGTTGACAAGTTCTTGTTCACAGTCTGCAGGTCTTAAAATTGCTTCATTTGTGGCATGTGCAATCCATAGCACTCGTAAGAGTCTCTATAAAGTCCACATTTCAAATGCTTCAATGTGATTCAGTAATATAACCTTAGCCTAAGACACCACATCTTAGCATCATGGAAAACATTGACATGTTGCATGGACCATATGTACTACAACATGTAGTCTATAGGCAAATAAGAGACTGCAAGCTAATAGGAAATTTTAATAGTTTAACTTTTTTGTTGACAGTGGAGCACTGTATAGTATTAATTATCAGTTGTCAACTTGTTGCCATAAATTTGGATCTACTGTGGTCCTTGTGGCTTTTGCATTTGCCATAAAATGTGTTCTGTTGCACTTTCCTATTAAAGAAATGTTTTAAAATCCTGAATTGTAAATATGTAAGATTAGGTGTGGAGTATAAATGTTCCCCAACCAAAATGTGCATATATAGAGTTTAGAAAACATACACATTGTAAAAAGTACTGTGATTTGTTAATTTCAAAACAAGGAAACAAAATATAAAACATTGAGTGTAATGTATTGCCTGAAACATTAAAGTAAAAAGGAGAGTATTATAAATACCTTTGCATTCATATATCTAAGGAAAAAGTCCAATAAAAATGATTTGCCATGACGAAAAGCTCCAGCAACAGATATAACAACAACAAATCGATCTTTTAGCTCTTCTTTCATTAAAACTTTCTTAAGAGCTTCTTCATCTAATTTGAATGAATGATCTTCATCTGCAACTACAATAGGAACTGCATGTGGTTTGGTCATGGTATCCTCATATTCGAATTCATCTGTAATAAAGTATATAACATAATTTGTCAAATCTCTCACAATTATCAAAATAAAAAATAATGTATGTTAATTTTAAAGAACAAAGTTCTTTAAAATAGCTTATTCAATTACAAACAATATCTTACAAGTTCCAGATCTGTAAGTAATAGTTATGTGTGAATGACTTTATTTATTTTTAATGCCCAAGAGTGATAACTCTCCTGTTGTTCATGGCATGGCAAATATTGGGAAACATAAGTAAAAAAAAATATTTATTTTTTAAATAAGGACAATAAATTTTATTATAGACAATCTTTAATTACTTAACAATTAGTTAATTATCCTTTCAGAAAATGCTTTCTTTAACCAAATGCTAATAATTTAGTAAACTCATTAATCCTTTCAAAAGATCAATCACTGGTATCAAAAGATACCAGTGATTGCTGTCCCCTTGCCTTCTTATATTTTTCTTAGAGTTCAATGAAATAGGTAACTACACCATTTAATATTGCATACTATATATATAAGAAATTGTATATTCTATAAGGAAAGAAACAACAGGTATCTATTTGCATAATTTTTACTTTGAAAAATATTTCTTTAGACTGTTGTATGAGCATTATTTGGTTTGATATGCTGTATCTCCAATGCATTCTTAATAGAGCTTTTCTGAGTGTTTGAAACACCTACAACTGATTGTAGATTTTTTTAAATCCAACTTTAGTTTGTGTAACTGTCTCAAAAAGTTGTGGTGTTTTCAAATTACACTTAAATCTTCATATTTTTGAAACTTGCAGGAGCACAATGATAGTTGGTATAATCAAATTTATACACTGAAAATTTGTTTTATTTCTGATTTAAATTTATACTTCATTACAGTAGTTTTATACAAGTTTACGTTATATTTCAAGGGGATCATTTGGCCTTACAGACCTTTCTACACTGAGGCATTAAGATATTTTGTGAATAAATTTATTTTAACATATTAACTGTAATTTACTGTTTGGAACAATAGTAGGATGGTTTGGGCTATATTTTTATAAAACTAATTTTATAAAACAAAAACTTAGGAGTATAATAGTTTGCTCCCACTAGATAAGTATGTTATACCTAATTATGCTAAAGGTAATGACAAAACAAGGCAAATGAATAGGAATGCGTAATATTTGCTACTTCATTGTTACCGTACAATAACCATAATATTATAAATGCACATGAATTTTCACATTTGAGATATATTCTTTTACCTTCTGTTGAGTGCTGTTTTTCTTGTTTCAATTTTCGATTTCTTATTTGAGACATGGTGTAATTATTCTTATTACGATTTACAATTGACCCCTTCAAAGTTGAAACAACCAATTTTGGCATGACATGACAGATAGCGCGTTGTCAGGTTAACATAAAAGTTACTAAATTTGTACACCTGAAGGTGCCTGAACAATAACGAAAATCACTTATCACGAGTGGCTGACAGCCACTACCGCCGTTTTATTGATAACACAATAACTACAACTACAACAAAAAATGAGAAGAAGTTCAGTTTCAGGTGACAGTGACAACTGACGACGTTTACCAAATTTTAATATTCAAAAAATTCTAATGAAAATGTAAAATACATAGCTAATTATTATAGTTTTTAATTTTTATTTAAAATACATTTTGGTTTTCGTTTGGTCAACAAATTTTAAAAGAACTATATAAACAATAATGTGGAGATTAATTCAACAAAATTTACATAACAAGTAAGGAAGTTCAGTACATATTGATATTTATGAAAAATAAGGAAGTTTATTAATCAGTGACAACTTGATTTCATATGAGCACTAAAAATATCTTAATTAGTACAATTTGGCACTACTTTGCTATAGAGAAACTACTTCTGTTTATTTCCAAAAATACTTGGTATGTTAGAGGGCTACTTTTAATTATCTTTGTGTTAACAATCTGCGAAGGGGACAAACGGACTAGTAACATAAATTATAGATGGTTTTTCACAACCTTTATAGGATTTCCAAACATATTCATATTTATATAGATAATGATTCTTCAGAGCACTTGTCTTTGTAGCTAATAGAATCAACCTTGGCGAAAGTTATTGTTTGTATTTTACTAGTATTTGTCAAGTATTTTTCTCTCTAGTGATATATTGTTATGATGTATTGATTTGTGGATTCTGATACTGTCAACTTATGTTTTAGTTATGAACATATTTTATGTTCATCATATCATGAACCATGGGCGCCAGCAGCAGGGTGTAAGGAGGTGCAATTGCACCCCCTGTCCGGAAAGAGAGTACATAGCTGTGGATGTATAGCTCTATATTTTATATTGGTTAACAGTATGTGTAGATGCAAATGCACCCTCTCAAAAGCAGATGCACTCACCTGAAAATAATCCTGGCGGCGCCCATGACAGTTAAATTTGGACTGAGAGCCACTGTTTTAATTATATCATAAGAGTATTTAACTGCAAATGTTTCTATAGTCTGGCAAATAATAAGTGAAATGACTCATGAGTGTGATCAGTTTGGTTTTCCATATCATTTAGCTATCGCAATGAATGTTACCAGGAAGAGTGTCAGTAGCAGAGAAAGAGTGCATATATAGGCAGTATATATTTAGTTTTCTCAGAGTTATAAGTACATTGTGTGTTAGAAGTATACAGGTGCCTTTGTGTTTAATGATATGGCTTTTGTTAGATATTGTTTAATTAAATAAGAATGGAAGAACCTAGTAGTAGCAGGGAGAGTTTAAATGTGAAATGTTTTCATATACAGTTAGGATTTAAAGCTAAAAAAGGGTCTAATGTGTATGAGTATTTGAGAAAAACATTGTCTCAGGTGGAGGCAATAAGTCATTGTGAATGTATGACAGGAGTATTGTCATCCACTGTTTACAGGATTGTCCATCAAAAACAACGCAAACGAAACTTCGGTCAATGCTAGACATTTATTATTTATTTATCAACAGGCAATCATCCAATTAAAATACAATGTAAACATTATTGATAAATTACAGAAGATTCTTAATGTAACCTACTTAAATTAAATTTAAAAATTTTAATCATACAAAAAATAGAAGTAGGAACAGTAAATAACAAACATTAACAAAGAATGTACAAAACATAAGGACATCAATCTATCACACACAGTTATTAAGCTGAGCTTTAAATCCTTTTGGAATACTATAACAATCCAACTCTTGGGAATATTGATAGCAAACCTGGGTGTCCTAGATGTGAAGGAATTGTGTCCATAGTTTGTGCGATGGGTTCTACAATAAAAGGTTGATTTAGCCTTGTTTGTCTACTGGGAACATGGAGATTAATTTTTTTCCAATAGTTGAGTACCAAAAATAATACAGTGCAGATACTATAAAACATATTGTTTATGCATCGGATTTGGAGAGAAGTTATGTTGAGGGACAGTTCCGTATTTGAATAGTTAATTTCTTCAATCCTCTGGTTTTGTTTAAATGCAACAAATCTTAAAAATTTGTGTTGAACTCTCTCAATAGCTTGAATATGGGTGTTATAGTGAGGAGACCAAACATATGAACAGTAATCTAGGTGGGGTCTTACAAGTGAACAATAAAAAAATTTATGGATGGGATATTCAGAAAGTCTTTAGCACATTTAATAAACCCTAAAAGTTGAAGTAATTTTGTAATTTTGAGACAACAGATGAGATATAGGGAATGTAGGATAAGCTGGAATCGAGCACAACACTAAAGGGCAATCATTAATAGTATAGATATGATTTGTAAGAGTTTTATTCCGACCAAACACCATTAAATGACACTTTTTAACATTAAGTTCCATTCCGTTGCTGTCACATCAATAGATCAACTGATCCAAATCAGACTATAGTCACAATCATTCTCAATTTTCAAGTATAATTTTAAATCTTCAGCAAACATTAGGAAAGAAGCAAAGAGGAAACAGGAGGCAATGCTAATAAAATAGTTATTGAATAAAAGAGGTCCTAGGTGTGGTCCTTGTGGTACTTCTGAAAGTACCTTAATTTCAAACGATTGAAAACCCTGAACACATACTATTCGTATTCTTTCAGTTAGGTAGGATAACAACCATTCTAAAAGTTCACTCTGGATACCTAGACTCCTCAACTTATTGATTAAAATCTTTTGATTTACCTGGTCAAACGCCTTTGTAAAGTCTGTGTATACAGCATGTACCTGGAAGCCATCTTCAAGAGATACTATAAGGAAATCAGTAAATGTCAATAATTAAGTTCAGTGAAGCTGCTAGAGAGAAATCCAAACTGCTGGTTGATAAAACAGCCTTTTAAAGTTGCTGACATACTGTTAAAAATCTGTGGACTGATACTACTGTAAAAAGTAGTTGGCAAGCTTTTGTTAAAGGTCTATCTCAAGGATTCCGAGGACTGACAGGTAAAGGACAATGACTCATAGTGACCCATATTGGAAATGACAGCTGCTTGCTAAAAAACATAACAAAAAAACTGGTGCTTACCATGAGTACATGAATGCAGATTGTTTCAAACAGTGGTTTCAATATGTTCTGTAATATAATATAATATATATTATTACAGTTCTGATGAATCTAATTCCAATTGAATATTCTGCAATTAACAAATAGAGGCTACAATAACATGATCTATCCTTTTTACTGGGTGATTTCCATGTGCTTTTGTGTATATCTTTCTGAGCGAAGTTAAAATTATACAATCAATAAAAAAAAACTATGAAAAAATACAATATTTTGGTTGGTTTAAATTGGTTATTTCTCAAGCACCAAATTTTTGTTTCGTACCACGCAAGTTAAGCATTTACAGTGTGAACTATATTCCAATTCTTCATTTGGCGGAATTTTCAGTTTTTTATTGACGCTTGTAAAATGAAAGTATTTTCTTCGTTGTGTGGTTGCAGAAATCTGCTGAGTCAGCTGTTAATTCATCTGATGTGTCTTTGGTTAGGCGTGTAAACACATTTCGACATAATGTCAGGACATTGATTAATTACGCTATTAAATAACTTGGTTATTTCACACTCAAGAAAATTAAATTTTTCCCAGAAGTAAACTTCAAATCCTGATAATTGCGTTTCGTTCTGTTTACTGCCGTCAATGCAACATATATAATCAATTTCAAGGAAGAATGTATTTGTAACAATATGATTCATGAAGTGCATGACTCGATGTATAACTTCTTCCCAATAAATATGTTTTGGCATGTTTTTCGAAGACATTATGTACCTACATATAGACCAAATAAGGCTCTACGGTTGCTGATACTCTTACTATTGATAGAATAAATAATTGAATCTCCTGAAATAAAAAGAATATACTAATTTGAGTATTTTACATTCTTTACTACATAGAACTATATACCATAGGTATATAGTTGATTTCTGCTAAGTTGACACATTATTAATCTGAATAAGAACTTATTTTATAAACTAGATCTAATGTATTATCTTTATTATTATAAACAGAAATATAATCTATTTACTGTTACAATGTAAAGTGAATGCAAGGAAACTCAAAATTTCATAGAATTCATGTAGAGCATGTGATTTTGGCTACATTTGACCACTTACGGCTCGTGATTTCTGATTTATAGTTTCATTTAATATTTGCCAAACTTTAGTGCTTTTTAGTTACTTTAAAGCCTATGTCCAGACAAGTTTTATAATAGTTTTATACATACTTAATGTATTTTTTACATGCTTTTGTTTTACAAATTTATATATCTTGTTTTTGTACTAGTTGCTTTTTTGGTCATGTGCATATATAAATTTTAAATTCTAATTTTGTTTTTAAGGGGCTAGATTAGGGAGATACTCTTTTCTCTCAGCAGCAAGACAATCTTTTCTATCTTTGTTGTCATGCTCTCTCTTCTTGATTCGAGCATTTTACTGCTTAAGTGAAATTGGCCATCTATAAACATAGTGGATCTGTCAGTCAATATCTCTTTCTAATATATTTTTACTCTCTTGCCATTTGTTTTGATGACATTATATTATTATGTTTGTACATAATGTTTTCAGATTAATTCAGATTCTATACAGGGTGCGGCAGATAAACGGTCAATTAGATGTATCTCGAGAACGAAAAGTAATTGAATCATAAAAATTGGAATAAAAGGGGTTTTGAAGAGTGACCTATTTAATAAAACCATTTCATCATCAATATATTATATATATATATATATATATATATATATATATATATATATATATATATATGCTTATAACTTCGTTATAACACGTTATTCTGAAAATTTTTTGTTAATACATCCCTATACCTATTGTGAACCGTTTCTGAGTTCTAATGATATTTATATGATAATTACATATTTCTACCATGTATTATAAAGTTCAATGTCCTCTAATGTAATTTGAATTAAAGGACAGCATTATCGTTTACAGTGTAAAGTTGGCTTTTTCGTTATACAGAGTGCTGTCAAAATTGGCATAAATCTGGCATCCTAAATTTTTGCGTAATTCATTTTTTCAAATGGGACACCCTGTATGTGATTCATTATTTTAGAAAAATATGTTTTTCACTATCGATCTGTCTTGTATTCCATATACCTATATCTTGCAGATTTCAAGTAAATTAGCTTTAGACATTTTTGTCACAAAAAATTTATTTATCAAGTAGCCTATGGAATATTCTGACAAAAATATCTGCTATTGTTAATGTTTAATAGTAACCTTGTTGTATGCCATTGGGTGTGAGGTATAATAATAATTTGCCTAATTTTCTTGACCAAATAATAATGGCACATTTAGCATATACAAAGGATGATTTTTTAAATTTGATTATAATTTACGGTGGGTGTAACAGAATAGTATCCAGAACTTGACATGTTTTTGCTGAGAGATATCCTGAGAAGCCTAGACTAAATCATAAAACTGTAAAACGTTTGTTGAACAACTGTTTCCAGTTTGGTCAACTTATAAGTAAAAGGACCCACGTCGATAATAAAGACTTACAAATAGATATCCTGGGATATTTTGCAGCTAATCCAAATTCATCCTTATGGTAATGTGAGCAATTGTTACAGGTATTGACTCAAACAATTCACAGAATTAAAAAAAAACATCATTGAGCATTGGACTGTAGATTATGTAAGACGTGTAGAATTTTGTGAATTGGTTTTAATGAAATGCCAAGATCAAGATTTTACAAAATTAATTATTTGGTGTGATAAATCGAAGTTTACAAAAAATGGTATGTTTAATCGCCATAACAGTCACTTCTGGAGTGACGAAAATCTTCAGCTCATGTGGGATAGTAAATGTCAAGCATTCTTTTCGTTAAATGTTTTTTGTGCTGTGAAAAATAATAAGATAGTCGCTCTCATGATTTATGACTAAAATTTAAACGGAAAGCATTACTGCAACATTTACGGCAAGTAATTGTACCTGCACTTCACGCTTCACATAATAATAAGCCTAACGAGGCTTGGTTTCAACAAGATGGAGCACCGGCTCACAATATTCGAGGAGTAGGTACATTGCTTGATGAAATATTTAGCAATAGACGGATAGCTAATAAAGATCTGTTTCTATGGTCACCAAGATCCCGTTATCACAGTTAGATTACTATATTTGGAGATATGTTAAAAATAAGGTGTTATCTGAATCTGTCACTACTGAGGAAGCTATAATAAATAAAGTCTAAGTTCTTAACGAAATAGATAAACAATCAATATCAAGAGCTACTAATGAAAATCTGATTAAAAGAGTTCATAAATGATTGGATGATGGGTAAAATTTTGAGCAGTTATTATATTAATAAGCTAGTGACCATTTTTTTGATAGCATCTTTTTAATTGTTCAATGTTTAACTTACAACATGAAAGTTGTAAATTAACACAACGTAGTACACGAAAAAAAAATTTCTTGTGACAAAAATGTATAAAGTTAATTTATTTGAAAACTGCAAGAGATAGGTATAGGGAATAGTAATAAATAGATAGATAAGAACTATATTTTTCTAAAATAATTAATCACATGCAAGGTGTCCCATTAAAAAAAAGGAATTAAACGAAAATTTAGAATGCCGGTTTTATGCCAATTTTAACAGCACCCTTTATAATGAAAAAGCCAACTTTACACTGTAAACGATAATGCTGTATCGGGTTAATAAGTTCATAAGGAATTTAAACTTTTATTCAAATTACATTAGAGGACATTTTCATTAAATATGTCATTCTTCAAAACCCCTTCATTCCAATTTTCCTGGTTCAGTTACCTTTAGTTCTCTAGATATTTCTAATTAGCCGTTTATCTGCCGCACTCTGTATATAGTGTTAAAGTAGTAACCAGAAAACAAAGAGATACTTTAGTTCCTTTTGTATGTGCTCTGCTGTAAAAGATTAATTAACAATATAAAGTATTAATTTTTATTTTTTCATGTTTTTACTTCAGATTGTTATCTCACAATAGCGCAATATTTAAGAAATATTTCTGCCAGGCTCATATTAAAAATTATATCTCCAGAACAGTGTCACAGAAACCAGTTCCAAAATCATTTATACCATCAAAAGTAACAACATTTGGAGTTACACTTACTGGTGGTTTAATTATAAAATTATACATATCACGCAATGGGGTATTATGTGAAGCAAAGAAAACTCGAATGGCTGGTTATGAAAATAAATTAGACAAAAATGTTAAATTTGATTGGGCAAGGCTATGGATGTACTTGAAACCACATATTTGGTACTTCTTAGCAGCAATTGTGGTAATGTAAATAATATAAATCATAATACTGTTTTAATGTTAAGTTTGTTTTAGGGAGCATTGGCTGTGGCTTTATTAAATATACAAATACCTCAAGTTATAGGTGGTGTGGTGAATGTATTAGCAAAATTTAGTGAAAGTAGAGATAGTGAATTATTTCTTAATGAAATGAAGAAACCAGTTATAAAATTAATATCCATGTACCTTGCTCAGGTAAGGTAAAATAGATAGGATCTTTGTATAATTTAGATTATAATAATTGGTATTCAATTCATACTGATCGGAATAGGTTGTACGCTTCTAACCATTCCCCCAGTAGGTTCTACTTGATATATTATTTGCTACATTTTCCATTTTGTTACCTATCAATAGAAAATTTCACATCTTTAGTAGGTACTTTACTGGCAAACTATTATAAATGGTGTTTTTAGCTTTTAATATGTTTATATATATGCTTTCTGTACTTTTCCGGGTTTGACTCCGCTCCACTGCTTCCCTCTTAGATCTGAGCGTCACGATCAGCAACTTTACATGAAGGCCCAGTATGGCGGAACTACAGGACTAGCTCTGCATGAACCTCTCAGAAAGAAATAACAGTCTACTGTCTTTGAAGGACACGATCTCTTCGGTTTAATGCAACACACAGTAATTCGTACGCCGGTTTCTCAGAAGATCACTTCAAGCATGCTTCTGACAATCTTCCAATCTAAATTTTCTAGTGCATGGCCTATCTTGTGTAAGACCAAATTCTTAATGTCATAATTGCACACGATTTTCTTTAAATTACTTACATCACGCCATATATCCTCGTATACCCTGTCTGTATACGACTTCCTGGTTACGGTATACAGCAAAGATCGAGTACCATCTTCTAATATCAGTACTTTTCCAACTTTAGGCTGCTGATTTTTTAACTCGTCCAAACGAACAAACTTCTTGTAAAATGTGGATGAGATTCCTTTAGTCATCTCAAGATCTTGGGAAACACAGTGTGCTAGAGAGACATTATGCGGAACACTACAAAGATCCTGCTGAACTTCTGTGGTCATGCCGGATCTAGCACTCCTTCTCTCTGCGTAATTTGACATAAATTCATTAAAGCTTGGTCGCCGGTCATCTTTGATCTCATATTGAAGGGTTCGTGCTTCTTCTGTTTCATTTAAGCCAGCATAAGGTGCAAGCCGATTTATGTGAACTACTTTTGGTTTACCTTTCGGCAACTTCTTAATTCGGTATATTACGTCATTTATTCTCTTTTTAATTACATACGGACCTTCCCATTGTCTTTGCAGTTTAGGAGACAAACCTCGACGACGTTATTGATTATAAATCCAAACAAGATCACCTACTTTATAGCTTTCATTCTTGCATCGAGAATCATGTTAATATTTCACTTTGTCACTGGCGAACTGGATGTGTTGTCGGGCAAGTTCATGAATGTCGTTCATTCTTAGCTTCAGGCGGTCGACATAATCTTTCCTTGCAATATGTTCTTCGGAAGGTCTGCAGCCAAACTCTATGTCGCAGGGCAAACGAACATTGCGACCTAACATCAGGCAGGTTGGAGTCTGGCCTGTAGTTTCATTCACGGCCGAGCGGTAGGCCATTAGGAATAAATTAATGTGCTGGTCCCAATCTCTTTGATGTTCTGATACAACTTTGGACAGGTGTTTACCCATCGTTCGGTTCATACTCTCGACCATTCCATCTGATTGAGGATTCAGGGGTGTCGTTCTGCTCTTATTGACACTAATCAATCTACACACGTTTTGGAAAAGGGTTGACTCAAAGTTTCGTTCTTGGTCGGAGTGGATCTCCAAGGGAACACCAAATCGGTTAAATAATTCTTTAACAAGTACCTCTGAAACGGTAGCAGCTTCTTGATTTGGTATCGCATGAGCCTCAGTTCATTTCGTAAAATAATCCATGGCTACCAGGATATATTTATTTCCGTCATTCGTCTCTGGAAGTGAACCTGCAATGTCGATTGCTACTCTTTCCATAGGACTACCATCATTGTACTGTTTCATTGGTTTCCTCTTTTTACCAATTGGACCATTACTGGTTGCACACAGTTCACATTTCCGGCACCAACTTCTTACATTATTTTTACAGTTCACCCAATAGAACTGTTCTCGAACCTTTTGCAGAGTCTTCGTAATACCAAAGTGTCCACCTGATGCACCGTTATGCAATGACGCAATACTGCTGACACTTTACTTTTAGGTACAATCAACTGAAGCTTAGATTCTGTATCATCATCGTTCTCAAAGGTTCTATACAGAAGATCATCTTTTAGCACCAGGCAATTCCATTGGCTCCAGTAAGACTTGATTTCTGGAATATATGCAGTAATGTATTGCCAAGTAGGTCTCCCACTTCGATGTATCCAATCGAATACTCTTTTTATACATGGATCATCTGCTTGAGCGTCTTGTAGCTGTTGAGGCTGCCATTGAGCATTAATGACGGTGGTTCGCCTCACGGGGCAAAGTTGTTCTTATCAAAGTGATTCCAATTTGCACTGTATGGCCGTCTTGACCGAGCTTCAGCATTTGAATGACTTTGTCCAGCCTGGTGTTCGATCTGTTCTATCTTTCTGACTGTTGTATTATTTTCTTGCAATTTACGGCGAATGTGACCTACGTCGCCAAACATAACATAACAGTGGCAAATCGCATGTTATTATGGGATATATGTACCATGTATTAATTGTAAAGGTGTCTATATTGGGCAAACCAGTCAACTGCTCAATCCAGAATTTGTTCTCACAAACATGGCAAGAACAACATTACTGAGCTCACAAAACATGAGAAGCATAAATTTGACTCAGAAAACATTAAAATTTTAAAAACCGAACAAAACAAGAAATGTAGCTGAGATAATTTTGAACAAAAATGTTTATTAGTACTTCTTATGTAAAATGAACCGTTCTCTCATAAAGCGTTACTTTAAACGACCGGTGATTTTAAATATCAGTTACGCGCGTGAAATAAATGTTTTAAATAAAATTTGTATCAACTCGACGGTAAAAAATCGATATCTTTTGATCAGAGTGTCCTATCAACAAAAATAAAAATGAGTTTTAAAGGAAAATAGTGCAGCTTTCACATGTGGAATTTTTATATTTTGTGGCAAATAAGTCAGTTTCTATAAAGCTGTTAAATAAATAAAAGTTCCGCGATGATTGGCGTTTTTTAAGATTTTCATATAAAAAAATTATATATAAAAAAATATATAAAATAAATAATAAAATTTATTACTTTCATTGACCAGTCGCTGTGGAATTTCCATTGTTAGAGCCTAATCTTCAAACTAAATCTATTACATGTAATTTTGAGGTTGAGTTTTGGCAAAAGATATTGGGCATTTGATATATGCCTAAAAAGCGCCGAATTTAAACTTTTCACATTACAAACGATCTCACGGCACGGGAAATGCTTCCACGAAGACGGCATTGGGTGTAGTTTGTAGCTGAAGTAGTGTAGTTTTGAAAAACGTACTTATACAAAAAATATGGAGTTTTAAATGTTTAAGATTGTTTGTAATGTGAAATTTTTTTAGGCATATTATAGGTTTTAAATATTAGTCTCCAGCAATGGAAATTTCGTAGTAAACGGCAACGGAAGCGATAAATGTTACCGATCTCATGAGAATGTTTATTTATTTAACAGCTTTATAGAGACTTCATTTGCGACAAAATACACATATTGCGTACGAAAGCTGCACTCTTCACCTATCGAATTTTTACCGTCAAGTTGATACACATTTTATTTAAAAAACTATTTCACGCATGTAACTGACTTTCAGTTACATCGATGGTCTCTTCAAGCGTTGTTTCTAAGAAAACGGTTCATTCTACAGAAAAAGTTCTAATAAATATTTTTGTTCAAATTTATGTTAGCTACATTTTTTTACGGCGTACAGATTCTTGGCAGATAGATGTTTCTTCCCCTACGAGGGATGGTTTTAGAGAGAAGTCCGGGGTGTAGCAGTGGTAAACATTTTTGCATATTTTTTTGTTGTCCCAAAATTGACATACTTAGCAAAATTCAACTTGTTCGTATACTTTTAGAGATTCAGTGGCATTTTCGTCTATGACAACTAGAATAATATAACATATTTTTAAATGTTTTTACATCTTGTGTAACTTACAATATTATTTTTAGAGCGTATGTACATTTTTCTACATCTTTATGCTTTCGAATTTAGGAGAACGGATGGCATATAAAATGAGGACAGATTTATTTGAATCTATATTAAAACAGGATATCGCATTTTTTGATCAGCAAAGAACTGGTGAAATTATTAACAGGTAATATTAACTCACTTACAAAATTTTTTGTAACGGTTTTAATTACTAAAGAACACTGAACGTACCAGAAACTGGTATCCCTTTATATTCCCGACCCATTTTATTTTTAAATTAAAAAGTTATTGTGTTTTTACATTAAAACATTAAGGCGATAAAGGTTTTATATTGCTTTTTTAAAACATTTGCGGTAATTATTTTTGTACCACTGGAAAGAAATTTTATAGCAATTCCGATTATTACACATAAAAATAGCTTTATTTTTTGTCATACTAGTTCATTATTGTGTTTGTATTGCTTAGTTACCAACTACATAGAAGTATACTTTATCCACAGGCGGGCATAAAGTGCACTTTAGGCAGGCATAAAGACAAAAAAAATTGATAACTTCTTAATAACATTTATTATTAAATTATGGCATTAAATTATTATAACTACATAACATTATTTAGTGAAATTTACTTAAAACTGGAAATTCTGGAAAGACCCGGTGATAGATAGTTTGACAGCAGTAAATGAGTGCTATGCTGGAATAATGTTGTAAACGCCAAATCAAATTTTGTCGACTATAGGATGCATAACATTAATCTTAACAAAAATAAACTTAGGTTATACAAAACAAGCATTTATGAACATATATGTTATATTTTAATAAAACAACGTGCTAATTCCCCGTCTGTTAAAACATTGTTTTAGAAATAAAAAACGAAGTACACGCGAAATTAAGGAACGTCATCTATAACAAATACTATAAATGTTAATCACGTACATCAAATAATATTCGTATTAAAGAGTTTAAAAAATTTATCGCAATGCCATGCCCAAGTTTGATACTGAATTCGCATTGTACATACCGGGTTTAAATACCAAACTTTAATATGGCATAAAAATATAATGGTAGGGTGTGACAAACATTAAGTTGAATATTTATTAGTTCCAATATATGTTGCCCTAATTTGAATCTTTGTACTTTAAAATCAAAATATATCTACTTTATAAGGAATATCTAAAATAAAAGATATAGAAATTGAAACAAAATAATAATATCGAACATATAATATTCTTGACACTGTCGCAGAAGAGTGCGTGTGAACAACTCTGTTATGGCTAGCCAAATTGGTGCAATACGAGATGGGACGTTGGGCACATGTGAAACACATTCTTGGTCAAACCTAAACACATTCTCGTGTGTGGTTGCTGGATCCACCATTGGGCGCCTCCCCAGGTGGTGGATAGGGGAATGCCTCTCGTGTATAGGTGGTACCGAGGAAATGAAATACTCAGGATGGACCAAAAGAAGCACATGGAAATGGGCAGAATTATCGTTACTGTGTTAAGAATTTTTTGAAACAGTTTAATAGGGACACTTTTAGGCAACAATGACCATATTAGATTGATACGACTAAAACACTTCGATGGGAAAGGCAACGAGAAATCACCCCATTATACTCCCTAGTAAAGTCATCATGGCATCGATTAGTGAAACGAATAATATTACTAACCATGGACTGCGGAACTTAAGAGATCCGGCAGGGGAACCATTACAAATAACTGAATCACAGATCCCTATAAACAAAACATTACCAGACATAAGATAAAAATGAAGAACCTGTATAGAATAGCTACGTAGAATGTAACAACTTTATATGAATCTGCTAAGCTGAGAACCTATTCCCTGAAATTGACAAACTAAATATTACTTCCTTGGGTGAATGAAACAAGATGGCCAACCACAGGGAATTTCATAGCAAACGGATACGCCGTTTATTTTTTGGAAATCAAGAACCATATGCATCGAAACGGAGGATCAATAAATGAAACAGCAAATTAGCAAATATGTCACTAACTTCATCCCAATGTTAGACAGAGTAATTTTAATACAACTGAATGCCTAACCTGTAAATATAAATATAATCCAAGTCTATGCTCCCACTACTTACACAGATGTGCAGAAAATTGTCAAATTATACCATCAAATAGAAGAAGTGCATCTACCATCTCTACAAAGAAACACGAAAACAATCGTCTTGGGAGACTTTAATGCTAAAGTTCGTCATTACAAATACCTGATTTCAACTTCAAGAAAGGCGTCTGTACATGTGGAAATCCCTTCAAGACTGGAATCAAATTGATTACATCTTAAAAACTCACCGATTTCGAAACAATATTACTTATCCCGGCGCTGAAATAAAAGTAGAAAGGTAGACAGTTCACTTCACTTTGACCTTTAACCCTGACGTCACCGCCTTCCGGTCATGCGTACATGTCAAAACGTCATGTGTCACGTCAAAACGTGACGTTTTGACGTAAAAACGTCACGTTTTTGACGTGACTTTTAACTTTTTGACGTTAAAATGTGACCCTTTGACGTGACGCGTGATGACAGGATGGCGGTGACGTCAGAGGTCAAAGGTCAAAGTGGGGTGAACCGTCGACCTTTCTACTGATAGTCAAGTCATAATTTACCCTACTCCAAAATACAAATTAAATTAAAGAGATTAACAAAGCCAAGTAAGCCTAGTAGAATATACATCTATCCCCTTAGAATCCCTCAAACACGTATCACACCAGATAAATAGAAAAATACACAAAAAACACGAATATACCAAATGAAAACAGAACCATCAACTAATGTAGGTACGACATATAAAACTCGATTTTAGAAGAAGTAAGAGAGTCTCTGGAAACACCTACAATATTGGCAAAAAATGAGTGGATGACACAGTAAATCGTAGACCTGATGGAAACATAAAACTAGAAATATTAACAAATACCGCGAAATCAACGAACTCATCAATCATCAAAGAATCTTGGGCCGAGAATTTATATACAGAAATAGAAGACCTCCAAAAAACACGGCAATTTCTACCTCCACAAGAAACTTAAATATACCTCCAGAATTAGGAAAAATGCTACACATGAACATACTGTATGTGACAACCAGTTAGACAGAGGTCTCAATATACTGAAATCAGAAGTCAAAAAAGCAATACCGCAAGCCAAAAATAATAAAGCATCTGGACCAGATCCAATTGTTACTGAGCTATTTAAATTTTTGATCGAGGAAAACACCTACCTAACCACTTTCTTTAACAACATTTACAACTAAGGAAAAATACCAGATATTGGTTGACTAGTTAGACTGATCAGTTTGATGAGCCACACACTTGAGATACTTTTACGAATTATACAAAACAGAGTATTTTTTCTGTGCGAAAGTAGAATGGGTAATAAGCAATTTGGATATAGTAATGCTTTAGGAACTATAGAGGTACAGAAGTACTAGATAGGTAACACGATACAAAAGAAAGAGATGGATTGGTCGAAAGAAACTTTCGTGCTGCGTAATATTAGGCAACGGTGTGGTTCCGCATTAGAATAAGGAGATTATTTTGCGCAGCAGTCAATAGAGTAAGGTTTCAGGAAATTGTATACATGATGACGGCTAACGTCTGAATAAGGACACGGCACCTAAAGAAAGCCATTCCTGCGAGGCAGAATGTGTAAAATCTAAATAAAAAGTTTCCTTAAACCTGGTCTTGGGTCAAAAGATGCACCTCTTTGCTCACTTAAATTTCATTGAAATTCATATATCCCGCGGTATACTGCTCTCGCGGTATATGACGCAAAATTTTACGTTTAATTTACGCAAATTAAACGTTTATTGCATCTAAGCATCTGAAATCTTCCTGAACTAATAATGTGGGCTAAGAATTCACTCCAGTTGTTTCATTTGTTCCTACTTCTTTAAGGCAACCGGAAATGCAAAGAAAACTATATGGAACCCTCATATAGTTCAGTATATAGTATACCTCAAATCGGGCTAAAAGCATGCAGATATCTTAGTGCAAAGTTTGGAATTTGAATAAAAAGGAGAAGCATCGAATAGCTGACATTCCCATGCAATTTTTTCCTACTAGTGAAAAATTGCGTGCCGAAATTTTTTGGCAGCACTAAAAACAAAATGTTTGCCACCCCTTTACGTTATATTGAACATTTAAAACAATAAAATTTAATATCAAATTGACACTGTTATTACGGACCCAGAATTCTTCTCTACATCTTTACTTTTGTGTCTAAATTTTTAATGCAATAAAACATATTTCTGTATATAGTTATTTTCTTTTTGTTCAGGGTTTGGGAAATTATTTAGTCTTTATTTTCATATTTAAATTTAATATTTTTCTTTTACTGCACTATAATATGATTTTATTTAATGGTATATTCTTACTAGTTATTTGCTTTAAAAGATATTATTTTCTTCTATTCCGTACAATTTCATTGTTAAACTGGCTTAAACACATGTCTGTTTTTAAGTTCAATCAATCAATTGCGTTTTTATCTTGCTTTAAGCTCTATGCTTCTTCAAGGGTAGGTTTAATTATATGGATGCTAATGCTTGTTTGGTTTGAATGCCAGTTTTCGTTCGTATGACTTCAGCTGGACTCCGAAGACTAAGGGCGCCGCCGCTAAAAAAAAAGGTAAAGGGTGAGGAGCATACCAAGCCTGTCACGAAGTACAAGTTCCGTGGAAAAAACGATTCCTTTCAGATTATTGGCCATTTTTGTTTGTTGGAAAAACGCATGGAGGATAGCTGTGGCTATATCCTCACCTAGGATCAGGTATCATTGTGCAATGAGATTGGGAAACCACAGAAAACCAATCTCCCCCTGTCCTTGTGATTATTAAGCGACTCTTAAGGAGTTTAGACGGTGCTCACAGTGTAGGTGATGTGTTGGATGTTTTTGGTGTTTTTGTGTGTTTACTGATTGGGATTATGTGTTTATTAATTGTGGTAAAGGATTAGGTGTTTATTAATTTGGATTGTGAGCGGAGTGGAGGTAAAGTGTTGTAGATGGGTGTTGTTTGAGTGTGTGTGAATGTGTATTGATGTGTGTTTTTAGATGTGTAGGTGGGTGAAGGTTTTATTGATGAGGTTATTTGTGCATGAAGTGGCTACAGCACATCCATACATTGCATTTGAGATTTGGTTGAGGAATAAG